CTCTTTTGAACGTACTGAGTATATGCAACCAATTTATCAATTAAAAATGTTACTTAAAAACTTCTACTGTCTTGTTAAATATAAGCAACAGGTTTATTCATATTATATCATGAAATCAGAATTATCTTTATACGGCAAAAACAGCCAATGTAAATAACAATAACTATAGTTTTTGAACTTCCTCAGTATAGGCAACCAGTTTATCAAATTTAAGTGTAAAGTAATTTCCCAAATATTGACCAAATTAATTTATTATGAATAGAAGTTAGTAAAGAATATATTAGCATGCCTAAATAATAGATCAATATTATTTATCAGTATTTAAAAATTTATTGAAAATTGGCCATTTGATTTTAGTTTAACAATAATTAAAAAAAAACAAAAAAAAAACGAAGATCTATATGATGGAATTATATTGGATCAAACGGATACCAGAGAAACAACCCCCCTTCGGTAGCTGAAGTGCAAGAAGCAGTTACTAGACTGAAAACCAACAAGTAACCTGGATTAGACAATATTAGCGCAGAATTAATAAAGGAAGGCAAAGACTACCCATTGAATGTGATACACGAACTAAGAGTGAACATATGGAATAATAAACAACTGCCACAAGACTGGAATACCGGATAGTTGGGGGATATAAATGTGGTTTCTGCTAATGAGCTACATGCTATACATTAGCTTCATGTTAATTTCTGATCCATGCACTGAATATTCCAACTCAACTCATTGATATAGTAAAAGAAACACTTAAAGTACAAAGCACAATTCGAATTCAAAACACACTAACAGATACAATTCATGTGAGAACGGGCCTACGACAGGGAGATGCCCTATCCTGTATTCTATTCAACATCACATCAGAGAAAATAATTAGAGAGTCAAAAGTCAACACCAGAGGAACAATAATAACAAAAAGTGTACAAATATTAGCATTTGCAGCTGATATTAATATCATAGTTAGAAGCGAAAGAGAGATGATAGAAGCATTTAACGTGATAGAAAGAGCGGCACAAAACAGTGGCCTAAACATTAATGAAATAAAAACCAAATACATGAAGGCCACACAGAATCTGACAATAGGAGTAATAATAACAATAACATCTAAAGCGTGAAAAATTTTACATATCTAGGTTCACTAGTTACCGCAGATAACAATGTCAGTGAAGAAGTTCGCTACATATCGCTTCTTCTTCTTCTAGTTTCATAACCGTTATCGATCGTTGGATATCATGTTGGCTACCATATTCGCTATAGTGACTTTATTGACATCAGCTCTAAATAACGATGTAGTTGATTTTCCATACCACTACCTTAGATTTTTCAGCCATGATGTTCTTCGTCTATCAGGACCACGATTACCTTGGATCTTTCCCTGAATGATCAGATGTAAAAGATCATATTTTTCAAGGTGTTTCATAATGTGACCGAAGTATTCCAGCATGCGTTTCTTTATTATATTGACCAGTTGTGTTGTTTGGCTCAGCCGTCTAAGGAGCTCCTCATTTCTAACTCTGTCGACTTATCGCTAATAAAACATATTATTATATATTACAACATCACAAGAAAAACCAAATGCAAAAGATATAAAACCCTGATAAAACCGATCCTTGTATATAGATCAGAGATATGGATACTGTCGAAAAGTGATGAGAACCTATTAGGTACGTTTGAACAAAAAATCCTTAGACACATATATAAGCTGGCTGAAAGAAAATGACATATGGCGTAGAAGTTATAATTTTAAACTATACACAGCATACAATGAACCCAAGGTCATAACATCCATAAAGATTGGGTGTCTGCGTTGGATGGGTCATATTGAACGGATGTAGGAACACCAAAACATATAATGAAATAACCACCAGTAGGAAGACTGCCAAAGGGAAGAAGTAAACTTAGATACATGGAACAAGTGGAACAAGATCTGAAAACACTTAAGATTACCAACTGGAAAACAAAGCAAGGACCACAACAGAATGGCGGAAAATCCTAGAACAGGCCAGGATCCAGAAAGGATTATCGAGCTACTGGTGATGATGAATATATTTTTTAAATAACTGTTGTTTTCATATTGTTGTACTATATTGATCCAATTCTATATTTTGCCAGATTCTTTGTTTTTGCCTCTAATTATTGTTTCGCTGTTGTTGTTATGTAGATATTATTTTCAGTGCATCTTAAATATTTTTAGGATAATTCATATTTATGTAAAAACAGTAACTTTATACAGGGTGAGTCATGAGAAACTTTACGTACTTCTACCACATGTAGAGTCCCTCAGGGAGCATATCATGTGGCCACTAAAAAATGTCAACTCCTCTTCTTTATTAATTAACAGGGTGATTTGTGTAATTGACCATTTATTTCATTTTACTGTAGTGTTTATACGGCTCATTTGATTTTTTTAATTTTTGCATGATACAGTACACCACTATCAAGCATTCGACTGGTATTAGCTAAACTAAAAAATTCCAGGACTGGCTTTGGAAAAATTAATTTAGGGATTCGTATTAAATATTACACCCTGTATATATTTTTTTTTAAAATGCAATAAGTGATTTTCAAACTATATAAATAGCCAATTAAAACGACATATGCGACAATGTTGTCGCACTTTTATTAAATTTACAACATAATCTAATACGTAGAAAATTAACATCTTTACTGTCACTTTGTATTATCTCTACGATAGAATCAATTGTTTTTCAATTTTAAATTTTTACTCATAGATCATATTGGAGCATTATTTTCGATAAATAATAAATTAAATTGATTAAAAAGTCACACCTCTTGTATGTGTTAGTTTTTGTTGATTGTGAATGATTAAAATTTTATGTCAAATAATAATACATTGCATCAACTGTACTAAATAAAAATAAATCTAAAAAAGTTTAAAATGAAGGTTGGCGTTGACCGTTTGACGTTTCTTGATATTTTATACCCATTGTCATTATTGTCATTATCAATTGTTATTTATGTGTTCAAGAATACATATTTCTTCTGTCATATCTAAGTTAAGTACATTGTGTTAGTTTTGGTAGAGTTTTTGTTACTTTCGTTGAAAATGCCACATCAGTTTTCGACCACAGAATATGCAGACATTATATTTGTTTATGGATTCTGTAATGGGAATGGTAGGGCTGCTAGTAGAGAATATCGCAGGAGATTTCCTAATCGTTGAACTCCCAGTCATCCAACATTTGGGTCAGTTTTTAATTATTTGCGAGAAAATGGCACTTTTCCTAGTGGAACAACAGAGCGACATGTAGATGAAGCGCAGGAAGATGACATTATGGACGCCGTTACTATGAACCCTACAATAAGCACTAGACAAGTAAGTCGAGAACTCAATGTTACTCAATCAAAAGTAAGTAGTCTTACAAAAAAATAATCTATACCCATATCACATTCAAATGGTTCAGCGACTACATGCTGGAGATGAGATCGATAGGTTGGAATTTTGTAGATGGATTAACAATAATCGACCAACGCTATACAGGACACTATTTACAGACGAAGCCCAATTTACCAGAGACGGGATAAATAATTCACGAAATTCACATGTGTGGGCAGAAGAAAATCCCCATGCTACTCGAGAACGTCGTACTCAGTTAAGGTTTTCGGTTAACGTGTGGATTGGTGTCATAAATAACCAATTAGTAGGTCCTCACTTTTTTGATGCTCCTTTAATAGGGCAGGTCTATTTAAACTTTCTACAAAATATTTTGCCGAATTTGCTTGCCAACGCGAATGTTGCTATCCGAGGGATGTATTTTCAGCATGACGGGGCACCCCCACACTTTTTACTGGCAGTGAGACAACATGTGAATAATGTTTATGGCAACAGGTGGATAGGACGTGTAGGTCCTATTTCGTGGCCTTCAAGATCCCCTGATTTCAATCCCGTTGATTACCATATTTGGGGACGATTGAAGCAACTAGTTTACGCAGTGAATAATAACCGACAACAATTAATTGATAGAATTATACATTGTTGTAATACTATTAGAAACGATCCCCCGTAATTCAATACGTCAATTAACAATTCGGCAACAAAAATCTGTACAGGCTGCAGGGTTTCATTTCGAAAATCTATTTTGAATTATTTTTATTTTGTTACCATTATTGTATCTTTTCCAGTTCTAATTTATGGGTTTATCATAACAATGTACATATTTTTAGTTTTTTTTTTAAATTGTTCTTCGTTATTGTTAGTAGTTACTGTTTTTTGTTGTGCAGTGCAATTTAACAAAAGTGCGACAACATTGTCGCATATGTCGTTTTCATTGGCTATTTATGTAGTTTAAAAACCACTTATTGCATTTAAAAAAAAATATATACAGGGTGTAATATTTAATACGAATCCCTAAATTAATTTTTCCAAAGCCAGTCCTGGAATTTTTTAGTTTAGCTAATACTAGTCGAATGCTTGATAGTAGTGTACTGTATCATGCAAAAATTAAAAAAATCAAATGAGTCGTATAAACACTACAGTAAAATGAAATAAATGGTCAATTACACAAATCACCCTGTTATTTAATAAAGAAGAGGAGTTGACATTTTTTAGTGGCCACATGATATGCTTCCTGAGAGCTCTACATATGGTAGAAGTATGTAAAGTTCCTCATGACTCACCCTGTATATTAGTTATAAAAACTATTCAGATTTCTATTGACGATAAAATTTGAATGCGCAAAGAAAAATAATAACAATGTTCTGAACATTTATAGCTTCAAACATAGATTTGTACGTGAGAGGCATTTGAAAGTTAACAAAACACCTGTTGCCCACTCATTATTGACAAATCGCATTAGTGCTATAATTTTTTTGCAAAATCTATGGTTGTTATGTATGTACAGATCTATAATTGCTGTAACAATTAGTAGTACCTTCATTGGCACTTTCTGGGTAGTTATAGCAGTTGTACATGGCAGTGACATGTAGCTTAAAAACCTGAGATGTGTCATTTGGTAAAGAGCTACCTAGAAAACAGACTATTATCTAGAATTGCAGTGATTCGTCGAATGACTGCTATTTTCTTGACTAGAATTATTCTGAGTGGTTTTCTCGTTCTCCGTGCTCGCCAGAGACTCCCGAATACTTTCGGCTGGGTGGAGGGTCACTATGGATTGCCTTCGTGCTGGCGCTACTGGTGTAGAATGCAAGATGGCATACAGAGGTCCTTCGCGTTCTTTGGCAGGACTAACGAGTATCGTTGGACTAGGATTTATTAGAACAGAAGGTTGATCGTCTTCTAGTTGCATGCTGTTCTCGGCAGCTGAGGGAATGGTGGTGAGGAATCGGACTGTTAGTCTACCGGGAGAACCTAAAAACAAGCTATAATTACAACTATAACCTAACACAATTAACGTTACTTAGTTATAAGGTAGGATTATTGCAAATGATGTTTATAGAGTTTCAGACAATATATTTGGACGTTTTCCAAACGCCTCACTTTAGGCTATTTCACGTAGATGTGGTAAGATCCAGTGGGAACACCCCTCTGTCAACCGGTCTTTTAAAGCTCCACTTTTTGCTTACCTTTTGACTTAGAGGAAGTTGTTTTTGCTGTCATTCTTACCTCTTACCATTTTAGCTAGATAATCTGCATAGTACAAAGCAGAAAAATCTTTTGTTTTAAGCTTTTTGTAAGCTGGTCGAGCCTAGAAGGCGTAAATTTTTTATCTAAAAGTACATATCTTTACTTTTTCTCATTACACAGGTTTACAAAAAATATTTTTTTAAATTGTTTGGAATTTCATAACTGATTTTTATGTATTTTTCAGCGCTGATTGCAAAAATGCAATCCATTTTTTCTATCACGTAAGGTTTTCTCACAAAAAAGGAATTACTTTATGGTATAATAAAATTTTAGTAATTTTTCAAATTTTTTCTTAAGTTAAAGGATTTTATTTCATGTATAATACATGTTATAAACTACATATCTAGTACACTTACATTTCTCTTTAAGCTCATAAGTCCTTATAGTAACGCTTTTGTTTTTCGTCGAAGCTTCTTTTATTGCTTTTCCGGCTGTGTACTCGTTGAGGGTGATCTCGTTTTAGCATCCAGCATCCGCTATCATGTTGACGTTCCATCTTCCTTGATACCTTCTTTCCATTTCCTTGATATCTTGGTGGAATCTTTCACCCTGCTCTTCACTTACATCACCAAGGTTTGCAGGGAAGTAGTCTAGATGTGAATGGAGAAAATGAACTTTAATGCTCATGTTACATCCCAGCTTCTTAAAGTTGTCGAGCATGTCTGCGACGATTGTCTTGTAGTTAGGATCGTTTTTGTTTCCTAGGAAACCAGTAACAACTAGTTTAAAAGATGTCAATGCTGCTTTTTCGTTTGTTTCCATTTTGTCCATAAAATTGGGATCTCTCATCAGTTTTCTAATGTCTGGTCCGACAAAGACTCCTTCCTTTAGTTTTGCCTCGGATAAACCAGGAAACTGTCCACAAAGATATTTGAAACACTCCCCTTCTTTTATGCCTTCAATGCCTTTACAAATTGTTTCATTAACCCCAACTTAATGTGAAGTGATGGTAGTAATACCTTTTTGGGATCCACAAGGCTTTTCCTTTCAACATTTTTAACCCCCACCTGTAAGGTTTTTCTCAAGGGCCAAACTTTTTTAATTTAGTGTTGCTTTCTGTATCTACTGTCCCATTCACAGAGAAAGCAAGGGAACTTTGTATAACCACTTTGTTGACCAAGCAGCATTGAGATCACTTTCAAATCACCACATAGTGTCCATTTATGGTCTGAATAGCAGAGTTTGTTTAAAACCAGTTCAAGGTTTTCATAACATTCTTTCAAGTAAACAGAATGTCCAACTGGCATAGAAGCATACTTATTGCCATTGTGTAGAAGCACTTCTTTAAGGCTTCTTTTTAAAGAATCTATAAAAAGTCTCCACTCATCAGGAGCATATTCTATTTTGAAACGTGCCATAAATCCAGGAACATCACTGCAAAACACCAAGTCACGTTCTTAAGAGAAAAAAGATACAAACTTCTTTTCCCTGGAACGATACCAAGAAAAGGACGTACCCGGAGCCAACATATTTTTATCTTTTAATCTAGACCCTAAAAGTTCTGCCGAGTCTTTAGGAAGACCTAGGTCTCTAACTAAATCATTCAGTTCAGATTGTGAGAATGGAACGGGATCGGTTGTGCCAGGATCGTAGCCATCACTGTCTTCTTCACTTTCACCTAGCTGAGCCAATGGTTCGTGGTCATCTAAAATACCATCCAAAGAAACTGAAGGAGAGGGTATTGGTACTTCAGGTCCATGAGGAACAGGGCGAATGGCTGATTTGATGTTAGGGTAAGAAATATCCTTTTTGTTTTTCAAACTGAAACCTTAAACATTGCAAGAACAAAAATAGCAGTCATCACTATGGTTTTTGGGCTCCCTCCAAACCATTGGTATTCCAAAACGAAATGACTGCTTTTTACCTTGAAACTATTGTCTCAGTTCTTCAACACACACTGAACAAACTTTGTGTGGGGCCCAAGACTTTTCTTGATCACCCAACTTTATACCAAAATAGGCAAAATATACCTTTTCAACAAAATCGGAAATGTTTATTTGTTGCTTTTTAACTGTATAGTTACCACAAATGTAGCAGAAGCCATCTGGTGAGTTGATACATCCTCTGATTTTTCATAAAACAACTTCACACCACAAGAAAACGATCTGTTTAGGCTGATGCCTTGAATTTATGTTCTTTGTAGTTCGATAAAAAATCACTGAAAATTATTTGATTCACACTTTATTGCCAACTATCCGTGTGTCACGAGATATCATTTAATACTGCTCTTACAATTACTACTACAAATCACTAGTAACCACAGCACGTGAACAGCACAGAGTGAAGAGATACTGTGAACTAAAGAACAAGTAGCAGAAGCTCACTGCTTGGTGATGGAGAGGGAAATGGGCACTGTGGCAGACAGACACTGACATAAAAGATGCTCAGTGAGTCAGTAAGTGGATGGCGAGGGAGGGGAGGCAATGGACAAGTACCGACATGAAAATAATGGTGGTTTTTCCTAATCAACTCTTTATTTTACATACAACTTGTATAGTAAAAAAACAGCTAAGTAACTGAAAATACCTTAAAGTATTTTTTATACTTATTTAAAAGTACTATGGGCTTAATAAACAGTTCATAAAGATCCAAAAAACAGAAATTCAAACTCACTAGAGTACGGAACTATGTATAAAAATACCGAAAAAAAGCTAAAAATAGACAAGCAGTTTGTGGAATAACTGTACGTGATGGAATGTTTTCACTATTTTTCCCAAAATTAGCGTTGAAATACTATAAAAATCACTTATTCAATTAAGACCTGTGTTATTTCGTTATCCCTTTTCAAGCCTGGATATGACTCTTTCACTTCTATTATCCTAGCATTTTAAACTTTATTTCTTGGTATAAACTATATTTCTGGCCTTTTTTAGAGTATTCTGTAAATTGTTTTTATCTATGTTTAAGTTTTTAGCTTGAAACAATGTAGTAAACAATTCTGTAATTTGCTGATTGAAGGTATACTTACCTGGAGGTTCAGACTCGTCCTGTATGGCACACTGGCGTGTCAGTCGAGGTTTTACCCTACCTCTTGACGGCTCGCTCGAGTTGCTTGACCGAGATATCCGCCAAGTGCTGGTACTGGCAGTGGTGGCTGATCCAGACGAGTCATTTCTCGAACTGGAGAGATTGGAGTCTTGAGAAGTCTTTCTAGTAATAAGCCATGAAGAAGCTCGTCGTTTAGGGTCCAGTAGACGCAAGGGAATGCCACAGTGGTGGTTATGGCGCCAAGAGTCTGATCTAAAATAATTTGAATTATAAGTTTATCTCACAAAATACACTAATAACTTTAGAATAAGAATAACAACGCTTCATACAGATATCAGGCTATCTGCGTCTATAAGGAAACACAATACAACCTCCGGCAAAAACAGGAACTTAAAATAAAATAAAATTAATTATTATGGTAATGACTTACCTAGAAGAGCTAAAGTTTTCACTAGACGACACCGACGAAGCCCTCTTATGCTGCTTCTGTTGAATTTCTGCTATCTGATAAGTATACTGATCATTCCTGGGCCTGTGCCTAGTAGGTCGTCGTACACAAAACAGCCATCGAGCCTTATTTAGCAACCATTCTCTAGTTGTGGTTTTCCTGTCTTTTTTGTTCTTCTGTTGGTTCTGGTTATCACCAAGTAGCTTAGCATTACAAGTACATTGAGGTACATGATGCTCTTGCTTCTCTCTGGACGATCTATCAGCGAGACTGTTGGTATTGGCTGGAGTTTGCCTATTGCTGAAATTAGAGCTGTGCCTACATCTTCCAATGCCTCTGGTCACTCTGCTTTCTTCTATAGCTTTGCATATCATGACGCAGTCTTTTTTAAATTGTTTTGTAAGTATTGCGTACAAAAATGGATTACAACACGAATTTAATGGCAGTACAAACACTGTGAACACTTTGGCTTGCTCTAAGGAGATAAGTTGCAGTCCAAATGCTGCTGTGAGAGAGAAAAAGGCTATGGGAGACCAACAAAGAAAGTCTGTAAACACTAATAGGGCCATACGTTTGGCAATCCTGGAATCGTTGGAGTTCCATGCTTGCGAGCCTCTAATAGCACAGTACATTTTAAGATAGCAACCCATAAGAATTAGAAAAGCTATTCCGTTTATAAACATTAGAAACACTACGTAAGCCAGACTGACAGTATCACTTATCTCGAACGGTAGACACACTGCAAATTTTCTATAGTCCGAGATGTTGAAAATTGGCATTATAGCCATCACGATTGCGAAACTCCAACCACAAATCATAATATATCCGGCATGTTTCAGGGAAAGTCTCTTGTTGAGATGCATGGCGTGCGTGATGGCGTAGTTCCGTTCTAAAGTGATGACAGCAAGCGTCCAAACCGACAGCTCGGAGCTCAGCACGCCTAAGAAACCAGAAAGTTGGCATGCGGCCGACATCTGCCAAGGAATGGCGTACATGCGGAATTCACCAAGAGTGGAGGCGTCGACAACAGCCAGAAACCCTAAAAGTAATACAATATATTAATAATTATAAAAATTATAACTAGTACAAAACCATTAAAATATAATGAATACTATTTTAGCTTATAAAATGCGTTTGAACAACTTATGATCTCTTACTCATTCTATTTATGTACCGGGTGGTCCAATAAGCCGATCTCTCGGCTATATATCAGAAAATATTCATGTTTTAACTTTAGAAAAAAAATTCCTTGGTAAAAGTGGCCAAGAGAAATCGCTGGAAATAACTTTCAAGATTCTGGGTTAACCGCTAGGGGGCGTAACCTGCGAAGAAAATTTTGAAAACCAGTTTTTTGGGAAATATGTCCAATTATACCAAGTGTTAAATAAGCAAACTAGAAAGAGGCATACATTCTGTACAAAGTTGTTCAAGTACTTTTTTTTATTTTTTCAAATAAAGGGTGGGGGAGAGTGGGAAAGTATTTGTGGATAAATACCTATAACTTTGGTTTGGTCCAACCGATTTTAATGAAATTAGTGTCATTAGAAAGAGTGTGGATGAATTAATTCACATCTACTATAAAATACGTGCATTTAGTTTTCATAGTCGTAGGTAGAGGGGACTTTCAAATAAAAAAAATTAAAATTTGTTTTTCTTCAAAATTTTTAATGGAAACACCTATTTATTGTAAATTATAATGGAACTGGAATAAATTCGTAACAAAATGGAGCAAACTGCATGTTAATAGCTTTTGTTGAACTCGAGATATAAATAAAAGCTCATAAACATAAGTAAGTATAGTATTGACACACCCTGTATTATGAATTACATTAAAAAATAAGTCAGTAGGTATTTTCAAATTTTTTTATAGCAGAAGAATCTTAATGTTGATACCTATATTGTAAAAAATAGTTTTTTCGAAACTAAGTAGGCTACGACAATGAATTTGACGGGAAGTTCATATTGTTTATTTATTGACAGCAGTCAAAACATTGTTAAGAAGTGCTATATTATAATTCGAATTACAGATTGCACTTTTTTCAATAGATATTAATATTGGTAATATTAGTAATTAATTATCAGTACAAATAATTCGTGATGAGTATATCAAATTGTATGATATGATTGGAGTTTATTTCGAATGTCACCGCTATTGCCTCACGTATATATTTTGTAAGATATCGTGACAGGAGACATTATGGCAAAGAAGTATTTGAAAGAAAGGCAAAAAGATTAAGAGAAACTGGTAGTTTTTCTCGTCCTTGTTTTAAACGACGTAGTAGAGTTATGACCGAAGATAATTCAATCAATGTTATTGCTTTAATTCAACAGAATCCACATATAAGTAGTCCGAAATCTCTACTTCTTTGCCACAATATCTCCTGCCAGGATATCTTACAGAATACATACGTGAGGCAATAGCGCCATTTTGGTGATATTCGAAATAAACTCCAATCATATCATACAATTTGATATACTCATCACGAATTATTAGTACTGATAATTAATTACTAATATTACCAATATTAATATCTATTGAAAAAAATGCAATTTTCAATTCAAATTATAATACATATAACACTTCTTAACAATATTTTGACTGCTGTCAATAAATAAACAATATGAACTCCCTGGCAAATTCATTGTCGTAGCCTACTTAGTTTCGAAAAACAATTTTTAATCATATGAAATAACAATGGTCAAAATAGGTATCAACATTAAGAGTTTTCTGCTATAAAAAATTTTGAAAGTACCTACTGACTTATTTTTTAATTTATTTTATAATACAGGGTGTGTTAATACTATACTTACTTATGTTTATGCGTTTTTATTCATATCTCGAGTTTGATAAAAGCTATTAACATGCGGTTTGCACCATTTTGTTACGAATTTAATCCAGTTCTATTATAATTTACAATAAATAGGTGTTTCCATTAAAAATTTTAAAGAAAACCAAATTTTAATTTTTTCTATTCGAAAGTACCCTCTACCTACGACAATTAAAACTAAATGCAATTATTTTATAGTAGATGTAAATTAATTCATCCACACTCTTTCTAATGACACTAATTTTGTTAAAATCGGTTGATGCAAACCAAAGTTATAGGTATTTATCCACAAATACTTTCCCACTCTCCCCCACCCTTTATTTAAAAAAATAAAAAAAAGTACTTGAACAACTTTGTGCAGAATTTATGCCTCTTTCCAGTTTACTTATTTAACACTTGGTATAATTGGACATATTTCCCAAAAAACTGGTTTTCAAAATTTTCTTCGCAGGTTACGCCCCCTAGCGGTTAACCCAGAAACTTGAAAGTTATTTCCAGCGATTTCTCTTGGCCACTTTTACTAAAGAATTTTTTCTCCCAAAGTTAAAACATGAATAGTTTCTGATATATAGCCGAGAGATCGGCTTATTGGACCACCCGGTACATTTTAACATAACAAATTTGTTTGAGTATATGTTTCTTTTATTTTTTTTACATTACCAGCTTCTATATACAATTTCACACCAAGAAGTACTTAAGAGAATGAACAGACAAAAAGATAAATTATTCACAATTATAACTAAAATTTTATTATATAATAAGACAATTAAAATGAGCAAGACCTCTAAAGTTCGTATTTGTATCTCGAATCACAACAGTAGAAATTATTTAAACCGAACCACTTCATAGATATCTAAGATCACTCAATTATTACATATTTTGGCTTACCTAAATATATTCCCATAAAAAAATCAGCTGCAGCCAAATTACAAACTAAAAATCTCGGTACATCCATCTTGCTTCTGGAAAATATAAGTACGAATACCACCGTACCATTTCCCAGCATGGCACACAAGAAAACTATCCATACTCCACATCTCAACGTCCACCAATCAAAGAGATCCTGACAAGGAAGGAACGGTCCAGGCAATGGTAAGCATTGAATCTTTCCAGGAACTCCGGTGATTTCTCCCGGTATTCTGAGAGTAGGATCGTCCTCAGCAGCGTATTCTTCTATGTAGGAAGGAAAGTTTCCGGGGTAAGTGAAGTCCGATCGGATGTTTTCCCAGATCTCGCCGAATTTCTTTCCGAATTTTTGGCTAATATTTTCTACAAAAAAAAATGTATAATTAGTAAAGTATCTAGAAAAATTTTAATCAACTGAGTATATTGATCCATCTTGATGGTAATATAAAGTATCTCACGTTATTTAAAAAATAATGATAAAAATAATTGAACCAATGAATATCGCACTATATGACAAACTCAAAGATAACCTAGGAGATAATTTGGTTTCAAAAAAGGTCTGAGAACACGAGAAGCACTGTTTACATACACATCTTTCTCTCTTCAGTCTTAAGTAATCCAACTTTGGACATAGGCCTTCCCCAAATCAATCCAGTGTTTTCTATTTTACACCACTTGCTTCCAGTTGTGGTCTCCGATATTCTTAATGTCATCGGCCTATTCAGTTTGTGGTCTTCATCTGCTTCTCTTTCCTAACCATGGTCTTCATTGTTGTATTTCGTGGTTCTATCTTTTATTCTTCAGTCGGGGATTGTGTCCTGCAAAGCTCCATTTTAATTTGGCAGCATATTCTCCTACGTCTTTTACTTTCGTTTTCCTTCTAATCCATTTGTTTGTTTTTTTTGTCTATAAGTCGGACCACGTGCATTGATCTTTCCATCGCTCTTTGTGCCTTTACTATTTTATCCATAGTAGAATTGGTGAGTGTCCACGTCTGTAAATACGTGAGTATAAGGAAGTAAAAAAAAGGAGGATTGTAAATTATGGTTTTCAAATATTGTTCTCTTTTAGTGTTTTTTAGTGTTAGCGTTTTAGGATCCAACTCAGTTTTCCAAATCCTGCCCACGCTAACTTTATTCTTCTGGTAATTTCGTCACTTTTATTTTCTTTGTTAACTTTCATTATCTGTCCCAGGTAGATGTACTCGCTTACTATTTCTAAATTTATTTCGTTCAACTAGCAAATATTACAATGTCATCAGCGTATCTCAAATGACTCAGTTTTCTTCCATTAACATGTATTCCTTTATCTGCCCAGTTAATGTCTTTGATAATGTCTTCCAGTTTAAGTGTGAATAGCTTTGGCGAGAACATCTCCCTGGCGAACTCCTCTGTTGATTGGTATAGCTTTGGTTTTCCGATCTATTTGTATTTTCATTGTAGATTTCTTGTAAATATTATGTATGAGCATTTTGTGTTGGGAGACTATCCTGCAGTTGGTTATAGCTCTCTTTATTGCCCAAAGTTCTATGGAGTCGAATGCCTTTTCATAATCAACGAAGCCAATGTATAATATGAAGCCTATAGGTCTTCAGATCTCCCTCGTCTCCCTTTTTGTAGAGAAGTATTGTCAAACTTTCATTCCAATCATCTGGGACATCTCCTCTGTGAAGATATTCGTTGAAACATTTTTTCAATTCTTGAATAATATATATATATATATATATATATATATATATATATATATATATATATAAATATATATATATATATATTATATAATTATATATATATATATATATATATATATATATATATATATATATATTATATATATATATATATATATATATATATATATATATATATATATATATAATCAATAACCCTTCTACCCTAAGGTGTTGGGTGTAAACTCTCTTTTAGTTTTCATGTACAAACTTCCTCCAATTCTTCTTGTTGCTTGCCAACTTCTTCGCTTGCTCCTTGGTGACTCCTCTCCTGTCTAGGATGGCGGCAATTTCATCGTCCCAGGTCTTCATGGGTCTGCCCCTCGGTCTTTTCAAGGTTCTTCTCGCTTCCCACACTTGTTTCACTTGGCTTTTTTTATCCATCCTTACCATGTGGCCGTACCATCTCAGTTGGGCTTCTTCGATTTTCTTCTCTATTGGCTGGACTTTAAGGCGTTCTCTTATTTCATTGTTCCGTATCCTGTCCATTCTGGTCACCCCTAGTACTCTTCTTAGATACTTCATTGATATACTTTGCAGTTTACTTTTTAGTCTGGTGGTGAGCGTCCAGCTTTCACATCCAAATGTTAAGATAGGTACAAAAACTGTGTTGTAGATAGCTATCTTTGCTTTTTGGGATACTTCTTTTTTCGATAGGAATGTGCTCTTAATTGCGTGGTATATCCGGGAAGCGTTTGCTATTCGATTATTTATCTCTGCTTCTTGTGTACCCTTACTCTCTAGTTGCACTCCCAGGTATTTGAAGGTTTCTACTTATTCTAAAATATAGTTGTAGATTTTAATGTTTGTATGTTGGTCTGTTTTCCCACATACCATCACTTTGGTTTTACTTTCATTAATTCTCAGATTGCGTTTCTCAAGTTTATCTCTCCATATTTGGAGGTTTCTCTTAAGTACGTCCTCGTTTCTTCCAAATACGACGAGGTCATCTGCATATGCGCACTCCGCAATCTGTATCATTTCCAGGTTTCTATGTCCAACAAATAATCTCGATGTTTCTTCCATAGACAAAAACCATATAGATATTTATCTCATATTGGCGACCTTGAAATTTATTTTAGTTTCTTCGAATACACAGATGGCGCTACAGTACCTACATATTTTAAAGAGACATGGCAACTTCACGTCAACATTTGTCATTGTCAAGATTCTTGTGTGATTATTTACTATTTACAGCGTGGTGGTGTTTATCTTTTGAGGATCTTTTATGTATTTTTATTTAACTTGGTGTGGCATTTATAGTTCTTAATTTATTAGTCTATTATAGTGTTTAAGTTTTATAGTGTTAGGTTAAGTTTTAATCTGTATTTGTTCCAATGTAGTGTTAAGTTTTAATCTGTATTTGTTACGGTAAGAATGATCTATTGTAATTGTAGATTTTTTTAACAAGTTAATTTTTTTTTTTTAATTAATATGTTTGTTTTGTTATTCACTTCAGTTGGTCAGATGGTTTATATTTATTTCAATATTTTATTCAATATAGATAATAATAATTTTTACAAAACTTATGTGTGGTATGGTGCAAATATCCATGTTCAATTAACACTATAAAATTAAATAAATTAAAAATAAAATTTTTTTTGTTAATTATCAGTTTTATTTATCCTTTTTTTTTTTTCTAAAAACATTCGAAACATATTTTACACTGAGTGCACATTTATTAACTGAATAAGAAAACTATAAGAGGCAATAGTGCGGCAACGTTGTATTTAGTTTCTTCGAATTTGTAGATGTCGCCTTTTAGCTTCTAAATGTCATTATTGAGTTCGCCATCTATTTGGTTTTGGTCTATGGTTTCTTCTCTAGTTTCCTTCATTACATCATCTAATACAATATTGAACAGGATGGGGCCTAGTACACCTCCTTGTCATAAGCCATCATTGACTCTAAACTCTTCTGATTCCATATTATCTGTTCTTACCCTGTTTCTTGTGTTCTTGTATAGGCTCATAATAGCTTTTCTGAGTTTGCCGTCTACTTCTCTGTTTCTTAGGCTTTTGTCTATTTCAGTTCGCGGGGTTCTATCAAATGCTTTTTCGAGGTCTATGAAGGCTTGGTATATTTCCGTACTTGTATTTCGTGCATTTTGTATTAGATGCTTGAGTGTAAAAATATGGTCATGGATGCTTCTTCCCTTCCTGAAACCGCTCTGTGACTGCTCCAGCTTATGGTCTACTTCTTGTAGTAGTCTTTTCTCCAGTACTCGTTCGTAAACTTTGGAAGGGATACGCAGGAGAGTTATACCTCTGTAGTTGCTGCATTCTCGTCTGTCACCTTTTTTGAAAATGGGTAGAATAACGCCCACTTCCCAGTCTTTTGGGATCTTGTTCTCATTCCATGCTTTATTGCAAACTTTTCTAAGCATTTCATTTCCATTTTCTCCCATATTTTTTAGCATTTCCGCAGTTATCTTATCATAGCCAGCTGCCTTGCCTCTTTTGAGCCTGAGTATTATTTCTCTTATTTCTTCTATTGTTATTTCGTTTTGGTTTGGGTTTTCAGATGTGTTTTCTTCAGTGTTGTCTATTTCATTATTATAGTCTTTTTGAGTCAGAAGGTCTTTGAAATATTCTCTCCACCTGTTCATAATACTTTCGTTCTCGCAGAGGATGTGGCCATCTTTGTTTTTAATTTGTTTTGGTGTTTGTTGTCTGTTCTCTGTTCTTAGGCTTCTCAGAGTTTTGTAAAATAGTTTTTGGTTTGTGTGGTAGTCTTTCTCCAGCTTATTCCCAAAATCCTCCCAGCTCTTCTTTTTTGCTTCAATTACCATATATTTTGCTTTTGCCCTCTGTTGCTTATATTTTTGATAGCTTTCTGCATTCTGGTTCCCTCGATATTTTTTCCACGCTAGCTTCTTGGATTTGACCTCTTCTTTTATTTCATTACTCCACCAATTCGTATATTGTCTGTTTTTATTGATTTTAGCTATTCCGCAGATTTGCTTGCCCCCATCTAGGAGAGATTCTTTAAGTTTTTGCCAAGTTTCTTCTAAGTCATAGTTCTGGTTTAAGTGCTTTTGTAGACTATTGTTCATATAGCTTTTGTATTTTTGTGCTATTTTCTTATCTGCTAACTTGTATGACCTAATAACTGCGTTGGTGAGGTTTCTTGGAGTTCTGTCTCGTTTTCTTGGTACCTTCTGCGTGCGTTTTTGTTCCACACCGTTACTAGTTCGGGATACTACCAGATAATGGTCGCTATATATTTCTGCTCCCCTTCTGACTCTGACATCTTTGATACACTGTCTTAAGGGTCTGTTTACCAATAAATAGTCAATAATGGACTTTTCTCCTCTACTCTTGACTTCTCTGGTATATTTGTGCACATATTTGTGTTAAAAAAGGGAATTCATAATTATCAGGTCATTCTCTCTACAAAAGTCTATAATTCGTTGACCATTATTGTTTCTTACTTGTTCTCCGTGTTGTCCTAGTACATCTGAGGATTCTTGGTCTTTTACGCCTACTCTACCATTGAGATCGCCAATTATTATTATGTTACCTTCTGCGCTATCTATGATCTCTGTCGCCTTTTCCCAAAAAATGTCCTTGGTGTTCGTTCTTTCAGTATCGTTTGGTCCATATATAACAAAGATGTTGACTAGTTTCTATAT